GCTTTCACGTCGAGAGGACATCCAAAAATAGAATTTACTGCTGCAAGGGGATTTACAATTGCTTACCCCCACCACCCCCATCACAATATGACCTATATTAGTTCTTTTGGAAAACTTTACTTTAATCAACATGACATTCTGTAAGGACTTAAAGGTCTTTATATAACTTGATAACTAAAGGATGTTCATTTTCATCAACTAAAGAAACCCAGTTTAGTTTGTTCTTTAATGCCTCTGGATCCAACAATCTCAACAGCTGACTTTAGTTCACGCTGATGAGCTTGCGCTGCTAGTGTCCATGAGAATGTGAACAATGAGTTACTTTATTTAATTTGTAAAGTACTTTAGTGGGCACTGGGACCTCGGACGAGGGAAGCTTGAGAGGTGGAGCCTGTGCCTTCTTAAGGAGGTGACGATGGTCCCATCTCTCTGTCCTTGTGCTGGGCTTGAGCTGAGGAGCATGGAGACTCTGGTCTGGCCCAGGGCCTGGGTTCCCCCACCCCAAGATTAGACCACCCCAAGATTAGACCACCCCAAGATTAGACCACCCCAAGATTAGACCTATGTTATAGTCACCATGTATGTCCATATCTGCCTGGCTCAGAGGGTCCGTGCTACAGTATTTATACCATACACTTATTTAGCTCGACCTCCTTCCAAGTTAATATTAGGGATTAATGCATGTTGTGGAAAGTGGCACCTTGAATAGTGCCTTGGACTGGAAGAAGTGTCTTGGGAAATAAAAGGCATCTTTGGCAGGGACTCCATGCATGTCACACTAACCCACAAGACTGCGACTCCAAGCCAATCTGAGGGACTTTTTCTGCAACGTTTTTTGGCGAGCATTTTTTTAAACCCCCATTGACATGAAAATAATGCTGAAAAGCAAAAGGAAAAACTCATGATGTTGACAAGAAATTAACACAAAACTGAAATGAAGATGAAAATGTTCTTTGTTGATGTTTTTTCCTGCGAAAAGAATTCGGAAAATATGAATGATGGGTGCAAAATAAGCATTTGAGTGTAACAGATTTGGGCAGGCAGTGGATAACAGGTTCATACTGTGCTCCATACTTCCAAAAGTAAAGCAGCAGCTACAACAGAATAGAAATGTCCGTCGTGTTCGGAGGATGCTTGTTAAGGTATCTGAAGGGTCACTTTTAGCTGATTGATGTTAGTAGTGAATCGTTCAACACAGATCACCAACACACTGAAACAAATCTTTCTATTTATTTGCCATCTCTCACAAATCCTGTCAACAGAAAGTTGGTATATTTTGATAAATGCGTAGACTTTTACAGATGAGTGTAAAAAGTGGCTCGTCCTGAAATTTCACGTATATAGAAGTTGGCACTAAGGAAACATGACTTGGAAATATTATTAATGGCACTTTCTGTGAAAGGGGAAGATGCCATGGTAACTGTTGATACTTGGCAATAGTGAAGTGAGCTTGTAGTAAATTAGTATTTATATTTATGAATAAATGCCATATGTGAGCTAATAAACATATCACATGCTGTTTTGGGCCACATATGTTCCATAATAAAATCTAACACTTGATTATTAGAAAATTGCATCATATTAAATGGAACCAAATCTCATGTTGCCTTCTATATGTCTCTCAAGCCTTCATATCTGATTTTTATACAATGAACTGAAAGCCCTTGGTTCAGATTCTTTACATTATTAGAGTGTGTCAGTTGGTAGTTTTAGCACTACATCTGAATGACTTGGAAAGGATATTATTTTAGTGAAAACAGAGGGGACATTAGTGGTAAATTGGACTTGTGTACACATGTTTGTATCCTTAGTTACCCAGATTGTTTTCATGTACAATTGCTGAATTTTCTGTGCTTCACTGCAGTCTATTTTATAATAATCCTTGCATTTGTTATAGCGCCTTATCACAGTTTTGAGATGTCTCTAAGCGCTTCACAGGATATACTGTAGGGATTTACTGTAGTGACTATATATTTTGTAGGTGTAGTTTCTGTGACTGGAAATGTCAGGCAGGTAAAATAATGAATTACAGTACGGCTATCCAGGACCAGCTCCTTTAATGTGGAGGGAAGAGACAGATGACCAGAGCTATACAAATGGCAGTTTTGTTCTCATGATGTACCGGGTGGCCAGTATGGAGCTAGTTGGTTGATTCTCTGCTATTGTGCCATGGGTGGTCTGACCTTTTACTGAAGTTACTGGAGTTAAGAACTGGATCACTTTTGCCCTGCTCTACGTAAGTGATTATCTGCACCATTTATCACAACACAAGCGCATTCCTCAGAAAAACAAGCTGAGGTTTTGGACCACAGGAACTTGCTCTCATTTTCTTTCATAACATTGGCCTAAAAACAGTGATTAACTTTTCAGATAAATAACTTTTAAGATGAACAAGCACATCAGTAAATATAATAAATCAAAGCCTGTTTTGTTAGAAAATTGGTGTTTACAGAATAGACATTAAGGGACAAAAAAGTATAATCACTCGAGCACACTCCATCCACAGAGTCATGCCAGTAAACTCTCTCTTACATTGACCTCACCTCCATAGAAATAAATGTGAAAAATTGTACATGGAGTGGATCTGAGCTTATTACATGTATAAGCCTGTATGCTACGATTGCTGTTTGCACTTAGAAGTGGAGGAGTGTGAGGGAGATTTGTTTGAAATCACTGGATTTGATGATTGATGATCTGTCTTATTTAGCAATACGCAAAGACTTAGGCTCCTTTATTATTCCCCCCCCCCCCCCATCCCCTCCACACCATGCACTGTGGACAATAATAATAATAATAATCCTTGCATTTGATATAGCGCTTTTCACGTCGGGAGAACGTCCCAAAGCGCTTCAAAGAACATACTGTAAAGTGCATTGACTGTATATTTGTGGGCGAATGCGGCAGCCAATTGCGCACAGCAATGTCCCACAAACAGTCGTGGATTGAAAATGACCAATTTTATTATTGGTTTTGGTTTTGGAGGGATTATTATTAGGCTCTGTGTGGAGTAAGGAAACTTGGCCAAGGTTTCGCCCTGACCTGCCTGGAATTGAACTCCGGTCTCTCACTTGCAAAGCGAGTGCTCTAACCACTGAGCTACAGGACTCCACAACCACTGAGCTACAAGCTTATTGCACACATGATAAGTACAAAGTAGCATTTGTACCCAATCAGCGCATTCAAATAGAGAAGTAGATGAAGCTCAGTCTGCACTTTTATCCATATAAATGTGAACAGTAAAGACACTCACACGCTGGGTAAAGAAACTCACAAAGCTGGGTACAAATGCAGCTGAGTTTGCATCTGGATATTAAAATCGATGGGTGAAAAGGTCTGAGGATAAGAGAGACTGTGATAAACAAACAGTTATCATCACCACCTTGATAAAAATAAATTATCACTAGACTCCCTTATATTTAATGTGGAAGAAAGCAACATGGACTGTGCGGTAAATAGTGAGGTAAACCTCTAAAGAATATTTTGTTAAAAGGTAACATGATAAGTACTTGCTTGCCCTTTGCTGTATATTTACTCAGAGAAACCCCAAGCAAGACTACTGGAGTAGGTCACTGTAGTATTGGGGTCAAGGGGGGGAGAAATGAGGTGGAGGGCTAAGTGACCATTCACTTAAAACAACAACAACTTTGCATTTATATAGCTCCCCTCATGCAGAGTAGCATCTCAAAGGGTTTGATGCTGTGCTTGACTCTGAATCGGGTTGGCCGAAAGCACAGTCAAAGATGGGGTTTGAAGGTGCAGAGGAAGGGGGCAAGGTGGAGGGACTCTGAGATGGAGTTAAGAGAGTGAGGGCAGAAAGTTCACCACTCATGGTGTGGCGGATTGGGTGAAGAGCATCAAACATGCCAGTGTTTTCTGAGGGGAGGGAGTGACCGGGACAGTAGAAATGCAGATGGTTATAGAGATCAGGTATGGCGTGACCATGGAGGGGTTTGAAATTGAGGACAAGCATCTTGCATTGATTCAGCTATTCAAACCATATACTAGAGAAACAAACCCAATATTTCCCAAACAGAGATTTTAACATTTTACAGTTTCCATAAGCAGGAATGATTTGAGTGAACACTCTTTTGCAAACGTCGGTTACATTTACAGCTGTTGAAAGGACTGTAGAAACCCCCCAGTTACCACTGCCCTTCACAACTCTTTAAACATCCATCATTGCTTGGTTTAATTATTGCTTCCAATGGAGCGGAAGTTGGCGAGCTGACAGGAGCCGAGGGAATGCTGAGCCGTGACCTTGTCAGCAGCTATCCTGAAGGGCAGAAGATGAACTCCTGCAGGGAATACTACATGTACTGAATAGCAACAAATGGTGATTTGTACCAGGAGGCTAACATTTCATGACAATCCCTGCACTTTTCTTGGGAATTTTTTGCACTACTTTTCCTGAAGTGTTGACTCCGTGCCGGGGTATAATTCCACGGATGCAGGTCACCCTCTTTACAATGAGTGTAGGTACACTTTTCTATGAGGGCATCACAACACCACACTCAGTCTTGTCCTTGTTCATACAATTGCAACATGAGGCACTGAATGGGATCAGTGGTGGGAAACCTGGCAAATGTTCCCCTCCCTCACCCAGGAAAGCTGAGCAAGAAATTGGACAGTGTTCATTGCCAGTGAAAAACATATTCCATTAAAAGGACAACAATAGTTAAAGAGCCTTTAAAACAGATTGCTTCCCCAGTGAGAATGCCTGTTCTGTTTTACAAGCTCTATAATATGTTAGTTTTAAAATTACTGTAATGTATTAAAACCTTTGTTTCACTCTTCTCCCTGTACATTACCAGGTTCTTCTAATACCAATGTTTTGCATAAGACTAGTTCACCATGGGAGCTTCTTGTATCTGGTAAAATTAAATTTGGCAGCTCACAGCCATGAGATTAAATTGAAGACAATTATCTACTATGTATTGCTGTAACAAACTATAGTGATGTGGTCAGTCATGCGCTAACTCTGCTTTGTTTGTCTGTTGTAGTTTGTTCGATGGCACATTGACCTGCAGTCCTGGGCTGGTCCAACACATTCCTTAGAGGAGGAGGCTGCCAGGTTCCTGGCCTACATCAGCAATACTCAGGTAGGTTTGTTAACAGTAACACAGTTTGTAATGAGCTTGTAACTATTCCTGATTGAGAGATGGTATTTGATGATTCTACTGAAGATTGTATGGCCACGATTACTTGCCATGGATGGGAAAAAACTTGTCGAGGGGGAATCTTAAAAAGATCGAGGGTTGTTAGTTTACTCGTTCATTACTGTATCAAAACTGAGGTTCTGGTCTCTACAACATGAGGCCCTAGATCCAGTGTAGAGGAAAATAACAAGAATGATACCCAGTGATAGGGGAATGAGATATGAGCAACGATTAGACAACTTCATCAATAAGCATCTTAAAGGGGACCTTATAGGGGCGTATAAACTGGGATTGAAAAAATTAAACCAAGCAAAATACTTTAGGTTCCACGAAGAGTACACCAAAAGGACATATGTTTAGAGACACAAATAGCAATTTCAATAACTTTGTATAAAATTATTTCTTCTAATCTCCCTTTTTATTAGTCATTTTTAAAATCCAAATCTGAGTGAGGCATCTGACGTTGTCAAGGAAGGCAGTGATAGAATCACCAGAACCAGTACAGACCGAGACTATGAAAGTGTTGCATCTACACAGCATCACCTCTGACTATGAAGATCAAAATGGCCTTGTACTTTTATAGTTTTGAGGAACAATAACATTCCTTACATTTGATATAGCTCCTTTCACATCGGGATAACATCTTAACGTGCTTACAGGATTTACTGTAAAGTGTAGCTCCTATGTATTTTTGTGGACAAATGCAGCAGCCAATTTGTGCACATCAAAATCCCACAACAGCCATGAAGTGAATGACCAATTTTATTTGGGGATTGGTGGCCAGGACACCATGAGAAATTCCCTTCTCTTTTCACATTCTGCCATGGAATCTTGACTATCTACCTAAACCAGCTAATGGGACCTTGGTTTAACGCCTCGTCTGAAAGATAGTACCTCCAACAGTGCAGCAGACTCCCAGCACTGCACTGGAATGTTTGCTTAAACTGTATGAGTTCCGAGTTGTTACTTAATAATAATAATTCCTGCATTTGATGTAGCGCTATTCACGTCTTCTAGGCGTCTCAAAGCGCTTCACAGAATATACTATAAAGTGAATTGACTATATTTGTGGGTGAAACACGGCAGCCAATTGTGCACAGTAGTGTCCCATAAACAGTCGTGGATTTAGTGACCAAACTATTATTTTATCATTTTCTTGAGGGATTATTATCAGGCATGTGGAGTAAGGAAACTTGTCCAAGGTTTCGCCCAGCTGGGGATCAAACCCAGGTCTCTTGAGGCTTGAACCCACAACCAGCTAACTCAGAAATGAAAGGTAGGCTGATAAATATTGGAATCTCAATGGGAACATTTTGAGGTTCAGTGACAATAGTTCCCATTGGTGTGTCATTCCACCAGTGATGTTCTCTTTGCCGGAGCTGCACAATAAGTATATTTTAGCCGGATTAGGCCAGCTCAACTATTGTGGCAGCAGGATTCCTTCAATATCGCTGCGTTTCTGCATGTTCAATGAGTGATTGATTGGTGCTCTGTGGCCCTTAGGGTTCTCTTCAGCAATGTCTTGGTACATTATAATCATAAGGAGTTCAATTTACGTAATGTGCAATGCACAATTGGTGAGCAACTATTTGGTATCTCTGCTGTTTTTATCTTGATTTCCAGTTAATTTGAAAGGGATGGTGTCTTGGAGGGATAGCTGCTGGTGATTTGTCCTATCTCTGCTGCCATGGCTGATAACTTTCTACATCTTCAGATAGAGCTCAGAGTATATCAATGACCAAACAGATAAAGATCACAAGAGAGATTTGAATAATAAAGTCCTCTTGGCCCATTTGATCTCACCTCACAGAATGCAAATTTTGCCAGCTTCCCATAATATAATATAATATAATATAATATAATATAATATAATATAATATAATATAATATAATATAATATAATAGCCTCAAACTCAAACTATTTTTTAATGACTCCATCGGCTTAGCTTCTAATCATGTGCAGCTATTGATTACTCTCTGTTTCATGGCATCTCTCTTAAAATGTGCTTAAACATGTGCTCTGCTTTCCTGCTGCTTTAGCAAATTTGAAAATATTCTTCTTGATTTATTTTTTCTTTTCCTTTCAGTAGCTTGGATAAGATCACCTCTGAGCCATAACTTCTTGAAACTGATGAGCCCTAGCTTATCTGGTTGTTTTTCATACTCATTCCTCAAACACTGGGAATCAGCCTTGTCGGTCTTCTCTTCATTGATTCTAGTGCCTGGACATTCCTTTATATCACAGCATCCAGAACAATATGCAGTAGTCCAGGACATTTGTACGGTTTGAATATGACTTTTTAGAGGATGCGTATAATTGTTGCTAGCTTCTTGTTTGACTTGTTTATTACTGCCTCACACTGTTTAGTCATGAGTGACATAACATGCTTTGCCAGTACCACAGCCCTCAGAGATAATGATGTTGAACAATTCATTGCCAAGATTTGCTAGTAACAACACCGAGTCATAAATAGCAACTCATGTGAGTGATTGAGCATCCATCACTTCAACCCATAGTCTACTTCCAGTTGTGTTGGAGCAGATTTCTTGTAGGTTGATGTGATGACAAGAGTCATTATGTATGGCTCAGAGTGGCTATAAGTGAAGATGGGAATGTTTACCTAATTGTCTGCATGTGCTGTAATTATACCATGTAAGTTAGGGTACAATGTAATAGGACAGTAACACTACACCACGGAAAGGACAAGTCCCCAAAACTAATAGAATTAATGAAAATAGCTTGATTGGTTGTGCATTCCTATTATGTGGAGTCCTATAGCTCAGTGGTTAGAGCACTCGCCTTGCAAGCGAGAGACCTGGGTTTGATTCCCGGCAGGGTGAAACCTTGGGCAAGTTTTCTTACTCCACACACCTGATAATAATCCCTCAAAAAAAAAACTGGTCATTTTCAATGCACGACTGTTTGTGGGACACTGCTGTGCACAATTGGCTGCTGCATTTCGCCCACAAATATACAGTCAATTCACTTTATAGTATATTTTGTGAAGCTCTTTGAGACGTCTAGAAGATGTGAAAAGCGCTATATCAAATGCAAGATTATTATTATTATTATGTGCAACTGTTGCATATCCTGTTGTTTCATATCCACAACAAACATATGCTTTGGATTAATTTATACATCAAGTCCCTTTGTATGCAAGACTATGCAGCACACAGCAAACTGCAACTATCCTACAGAATAACATAACTCAGTAAGTTGATTCGAGAGCAATCAAAATGCTTCAATCATTGTTTATCCTTTGAACTCTCCTTGTGGTTTTAGGGATTAGTTACAATTTGGCCCAATTTCATGTTTTGGGCCTTTCTATAGATATCACAGGCTAGTTTTAAATCATAGTTTCTGATATCTGTCACTTTACTTGGTTACCATGTTCATACAACAACAACAAAATTATATTTATAGAGTGCCTTTCACGTCGGGAGGACGTCCCAAAGCACTGAACAGTCAGATGTCGGGGCCCAAGTATGGGGGAGAGGTGGGGTAGGGGTGAGGGAAAGCAGAGAGCTGCGAGGGAGACCAAAGGCATGGTCAAAGAGAAGGGTCTTGAGACCGGCCTTGAAGGAGGCAAGGGAGGAAGCGAGGCGAAGGGACCGTGGGATGAGTTCCAGAGTGTGGGGGCAGAGAGGCTGAAAGCCCGGCCACCGATGGTAGGGGGGTTCGGGCGGGAGACTTGGAGCAGGCCGGAGCCTGCTGAACGGAGGGAGTGGGCAGGTTGGTAGGGAGTCAGCAGGTCATAGAGGTAAGAGGGGGCAAGGCCATGGATGGCCTTAAAGGTGAGGACGAGGATCTTGAACTCGATCCTCTGGGGGATGGGGAGCCAGTGGAGGTGGACGAGGATGGGAGTGATAGGGTCACGGAGCTGGTGCGTGAAAGTACAACAATGGTAAATATGAATGAGTAATAATGAAAGGATCTTATGGAACCAAGGAATGCAGATTCTAATATTGTGAAATGTTTCTGTCACAAGATCATAAAATGAAGAAAGCTCTTCGACCCAATTGATCTCATTCTTCCACCTAATATCCTCCCATTACAGCATCAAGCTATTTCTTAAATGAGTCCAGGGCCCTGGCCACAACCACTGCCAATTTACGATTATCTGCAGGTTGAAAAGTACAATTCCTTCTAATGAATATACACCATTGACTTTTCAGAGTCAGTATATATCTCAATGTTCTGCACTCAAGTAATTCACAAACCCTCTGTTGCCCTGGTCATTTATTTTTCTTTTTTTTCTTGGAAAAATACACAAAGCATGAAAAGTGTGCAATCGTACCACCTCTGGTATCTAATCTTACATGGTGCTGTGCTCAATTCCACTGTAACTTCCTCGAATATGTTAAAAAGATCCTAGAGCAACAACACAAATTCAGGGTCACTGTAACTCTCACTGGCATAGGAAGAGCTGTGGAATTTGCTGAAACTCTGTCCAAATCTAGAGCACATCACATGCATTTCTGATGACCTTGCATAATGCAAAGCTCAAACACTCCAACCCTTTGGATGTTGAGCTGTTAGATTTGGATAAGAAGGCAGAATTGATGCCCAGGCTGATTGCTGCAATGATCTTAAGTGAAATGGGTTGAGACCTTCTCAGCTCAGTTCCTAGTAGGTACAAGAACATGACATTAATCTGACATTATATTTCCACCATGTTTGGCCCCAGGTACAACTGGCGTGGGAAAAGGTAATGCCCGGCTGGTACAGAGGAGGGTTCTCCAAGATATTACATATGGCCTAGGAATTGAATTGAGACTGTTAAACTAATTTCCATTAGTTCCCTCAGCTTAGAAAAAAAGAGTTTTTTCACATCAGACTGAACCGGATTCTAGATTGATGCCCATAGTGTAGAGGTGAAAGGTCATTGCCAATCTACAGTACAATTCAGCACCCCCACCCTCATGTGAATAAAAGGAGAAAACAACAAAAAGCATCAGTGAAAACAGGTTGGAATTTGAAATCAAAAACATATCAAGGTTAAGTAGACTAGCAAGTAGTTTAATCGACCATCTCTTCCGATTGATTGAATGAAATGAATTGTGTTTGTGTACTGGAGCATACAGCCTTTGTGTAAACCTGGTTTATCTAGAAAAATAAGCTGATAATGAACGTGAGACTGACAGAAAGGAAATGGTGGGAGGTCAGCAAAACTGATTGGGGAAAAAGAAGCGATCCAACGTTTCTAATGAAATTAATTTATGGTGGAAGCACAGCTCAGCTCCAGTGAGTTTTACTGAACAAAATAGTTAGAGACAGTAGGATAGGAAAGCCAAAAACAAGGTGAATCAGAAAGCTTTTTGTACTTTGATCTACTTGCAAAAAGATATAATTGCCTAAAAATTATGTATTAGTTGAAGCATTTTATTAATACTTTCATTCTGTTACTTAAAAATTATAATTAAGTACCAGAGGGTGAAAATTTAAATGTGTGATGTTGCTAATTAACACATGCATTGGAAAAAAAATGTCCTTATGATAATTAATATGTGGACTGGTTCCCCATTGTGCCAGAGACTGCCTATGGCAACGCTCAACAACAAATTGCATTTATATAGCGCCTTTCACGCCGGGAGGACTCTTCTTAATAGTCATGCTGAGATGCCGGCTGTGCCACATATTGGACTTGCAGCCTGTATTGTGTTGCTGATCTGCAATGTCTTAGAATGCTATCTCCCCATTGATTTGTACAGTTAAGACGGTATCCTGCTAAACAGCAGAAGCATGATGTGATCTGTGACCCAGAGGCCTGAAATTTCACCCAGTCTTAACCTGCAAGACAACAACAACAACAAGATTTAATTTATAGAGCGCCTTTCACGTCGGGAGGACGTCCCAAGGCGCTGCACAGTTGGGTCGGGACCCGAGCAGGGGGGAAATGGTCAGGGGGAGGGAAGGGAGGGAGCGAGGAGGGGGTAGAGAGTCGAGAGGGGACTACTGTGTCTTATTGCTTAAGATCTCACAGAATTGTGGAAAATTCTGAAAATCGGTTCTTGATTAGAACAGTGGGAAACAATTAGAAAGGCACATATACAGTATATATATATAGAGAGAGATTCACAAACATGCAATGAGAAAGAGAGAGAGACATGTGTACAAACAATGAAAAACAAGATGTTCATCCTGTTTTCGTATCCACTGTAGTGCCAATCTCAAACAGTGTGGATAATGGGTTATCTACCTTACACAAATCATAAAATATGGAATTTTACAGCACAGAAGGAGGCCAATCAACCCACTGTGCCTGTGCTGGTCCCTAAAATCAATTTTCTATTAAGCTGACAAAAAAAAGTTATATCCCCCATTAACATCATACACATTGTTTTGTAAGTCAAAAACAATTTTAAGTGACTTCATTTAAAAAAAAATCAATGTACTGGGAATAGCCTGCTAGAAATCAGGTGATCTTTGATTAATTGGCAATAATGAGACATGTTGTTGAATATCACTGTGGATTAAGGGCCCCAATAACACTATCATTTAGCATCTCGACAGACAGGTATGTCAGTTCCTCTTGAATGGACTTATTAGGTCTTATTTTTCTCTCTTCAAAGGAGGGGAGTTGTCCTTTGGATGGTAAATTATTGCCGAGGCACCAAAGTGCTGAGGTACACTTTGAGTCTTGTGGACCTTTCTACCTACAACAAATGTAGGATTGCAGTCACATCCAAGTTGAACTGACAGCCTACTTTGTTAGCAGTACTTTGCATATGAGTCAGAAGGTTGTGAGTTCACATCCCAATGTTGGGACTTTGAGCTTATGTTGTCTAAGTTGACACTCCAATGCATTTTGAAGAAAGTAGCCTATTCTAAATTGAACTTCCTATAGTGGCTTATAACTTGTTTTTAATTAATATTTATTCTTTAGGCTTGACCGGCCAAGAAGGGATAAAATCCCTGGCCAGAAAAAGTACCTCTTTTTTGCCGATTGCGGCTACCGAACAGTGCCTGAGTAAAAGATTCCGTTTTAGAGAGTCTGGGTTTCGCTTCTTCTCAGCAGATCACCCAGAAAATAAATTTTAAGGAAACAATATAAAAAGTAATCTCAGTGACTAAAAATGACAGCTAAAAAATGTAATGTGGCTCAAAGAAAAATGGCTTTGGAAAGGTGAAAGAGGGCAGTTATACAATACGCATTTATATAGCTTCTTTCACATCATCAGGACATTTCGTATATGGAGAGGGTTGCTCTCCTTTTCGGTAACTCAATTTTTTTATTCAACACAAAGAATGTTTAAAAAGTACAGCAGATTTTACCCCATTATTATAAATGAGAATATATCATCAATGCAAGGATTATTATTATTATCATGTTGACGTGCTATGAGATGTGATCAGCAACTTTGCTGAAAGAGTATGATCATTAGCCCACTGGTATCTAGTGACCCGAGATTCTATATGGGCTGAAGGGGACTATATAAATGCAAGTTGTTGTTGTTATATCTATTTAAGTCTCAGTCAGCATTACAGTGTACAGATTCACCATGTTTGAAAAGAATCAAACAGCATTTTGTTTTCTCACTGTACACTGTTCTCACTGTGGAGTCCTGTAGCTCAGTGGTTAGAGCACTCGCTTTGCAAGTGAGAGACCTGAGTTCAATTCCAGGCAGGGCGAAACCTTGGGCAAGTTTCCTTACTCCACACAGAGCCTAATAATAATCCCTCCAAAAAACCAAAAACAATAATTAAATTGGTCATTTTCAATCTACGACTGTTTGTGGGACATTGCTGTGCGCAATTGGCTGCCGCGTTCGCCCACAAATATACAGTCAATTCACTTTACAGTGTGTTCTGTGAAGCGCTTTGGGACGTCCTCCCGACGTGAAAAGCGCTATATTAAATGCAAGGATTATTATTATTATTATTACAGATCTCTTGTGCCAATGTAAATGAAAAGGATTTAAGTAGCGACCAGGAGTTAACCATGGAACGGTGGCCTATCTGCCTGGATGACAGGTTTGGCCTGTCTCGTCAGATGCTTCGTGGGCGATGCCGAATTTACTCCCTGGGGTAAGTGTGCCATCCAGAGATAAGAATAGCAAGCTGTTATTAACTAGAAACCACTAGGCAATACTCACACACCCAAAGGATTACTTGCACACATTTATTAACTTGGAGCAGGGAAGCTTAAAGGAAAGGATCATGCCCTCATTGGGAAAGAACAGAAATTTCATAGCTGAGGAGCATTGATGAGATGTTTTCAACTTCCCAAATGATGGCTGCTTTCTGAGGAAGCTGCCAAGGTTGTTGTCAATTACCAAACTGAGGAGCGGTATAGTAAATTCAGAGCTCCAGAACTGTCAGTTATCACCCCTAATGATTCAGATAATGAGGCTCCACAGCAGAAAACTGTGCTTTTGTTTATCTTTGACCCATGTACTGCAAAACAAACTCCAACAAGCTCATTTCTTCCTCCCTGCCAGTCAGCCGTGTGAATCTTACTCATCACAAAGTCTCCTGTTCAGGCAGTTGCTGTCTGCATAGCCAGATACCTGCATGTCTGCAACCTGAAGTCTAAACTACCAATTAAAAGCATGTATAACACCCACTGAACAGGCTCACATGAGGAATAAGTACTTGAGCAAGCTACTAGAGACACACTGATACCAATGCAATTGTACTCCACTGTCAATCAGTGCTTCACTTGGGGGCAGCCAAGGGAAATTTGAGGGGGAAGGAAACACATTAATTGGGAGTTTACATTGTGTGGATCATCAGGAAGGCTTGTGCTGCAGTAGATTCCTGATTGACCACAGACAGCCCTTTGAAACTACACCCCAAAACTGGAACTCTACCTCAATCCCTCCGCCTTGCCTCCATTTGCCAATCTTCAGATTACACCTAAAGACCTTCCTCTTCGACCGTGCCTATGGTCACCTTCCTCTTTTTCCCTCCTTGACATCAAGCTCCGCTACAATTAAGGATGCCAAGATACTACCCTGCATGAAGTGCGTTATATAAATGTACATTGTTGTTGAAGATGCAAAAGGAGCCACCTTGAAAAACATCACCAAAACGTACAGGGATTCCAGCACCACCATATCACCACATACAGCTATTTCATGACACTTACAAGATTAACTACAGCTTATTTAAATTAACTGTCAAAAAAGACTCACAATTAGCTTTGTCACTCTGGTTCTAATGAGGGAAATAATTAACCAGGCTTCCATTGCAAATCTGTGTACAGTAACTCCTTTCCTCTTTCCACAGATAAGTCTATATGTGTGTGAGGTGCATATAAGTGTGAATGTGGAGTAAGGATATGGAGTGTATACAGGACTGTGGAGTCCTGTAGCTCAGTGGTTAGAGCACTCGCTTTGCAAGCGAGAGACCTGAGTTCAATTCCAGGCAGAGGGCGAAACCTTGGGCAAGTTTCCTTACTCCACACACCTAATAATAATCCCTCCAAAAACCCAAAACAATAATAAATTGGTCATTTTCAATCTACGACTGTTTGTGGGACATTGCTGTGCGCAATTGGCTGCCGCGTTCGCCCGCAAATATACAGTCAATTCACTTTACAGTGTGTTCTGTGAAGCGCTTTGGGACGTCCTCCCAACGTGAAAAGCGCTATATCAAATGCAAGGATTATTATTATTATTATTAAGGATATGATTGTGCTTGACCATGATGTCCCCTATACAGTAGTCAAATACTCTACCAGCACTTTTTGTCTAGCCTCACGCATGAAGGATAAGTAATGGAGTGAGCGCTGGAGGGAGAGTATTGCCTGTGGAAGCTATACCCAAAGTAAGTAAGCAATGGGAGGGGGAAGCAAGAGTTAAGTCACTAGCAGATTCTCCACCTTAGCATTGGTGGTTAATCTGGTTCTGCAAAAGTGGGGAGATCCAGCCATTATTTAACTTGTCTCACTCACCCTCCTCTCACCTGATCTGGATGTGGAGATAATCCACAGCCAAGCAAGGAAGCGTTTAGTGAATCGGTCAGGTGTGTCTGCTCAAGTATCTTTCTGATCAGTTTCCACTCTCTGCTTCAGCGAGCATCCTGAAGATTCAGAAATGCTTGTCTTGGCTTAATCAGACATGGTGCGAAATTTAAACAAAACATACAAAGTAAACTTTGGGTTTTGTTAAGGTTAGAGTGCTTGTGATCAAACATTATCTGCGGGCAGGACAAGGCACAGGAAATTGCAGCCAGGGATCAAAGAGGTTGCGCCACACAAGCAACTGGAGACAATATTCCTGTGTTAAAAAAGGACTTTGTTATTTGTGGCAGTACGTTTTCTGACCTTTTCTGCGGAAAGATTTCACCCGCTGCTCGATATGAGGTCAATGTGATATTCCCAGCTGTTTTCTGGCTTTCAAGATACATTAACTTGGCTGAAGTTATGGATGTAATGTTCTGGAAAGGAATGGTAAATAAAACAAATATACTTCAGGGTTTGGAAAGAATTCTTATTCTGTTTGGAAAAGGAGTTGAATTTTGAATTTTGAAAAACTTGGATTTATATAGCGCCCCTCACGCAGGATAGAGTCCTAAAGCTACCTTGTCAGAGGGGCGCTATATAAATATAAAGAACTCTTTCCCCCCTCCCATTAGTTTATTGGGTTAATTTAATGAATATGCTGCACCAGTATGAGAGTGACCTATACGGACAAAGATGATCCAGTATTTGAATCCTTATCTGAGCCGGGTTAGGCAGCAGGGAGTCCAGTGATAGATTCCGAGTCCCTAGACTGAAGAGAGGAAATATAAACAAAACTTGCTTCTACAAGGGGCAGAAATTCCACCCGGGTTCAAACTTAGACTTTCTTCTTAGCATTTTAGTGTGGGAGTTTGGACAATTCTTAAATTCAGTCTTAAATTTTAAAACTGGGTGTCTGTAGGTTCTATTATTATTAAGACTTCCAAATTAAGACTGAATTTTCTAGCTTTGTGCTGGAAGTTACAGAATTATAGCCTCTTGATGTGTTATTGGAGGGAAGTTGGTATTCCTGGTACCATGCATTAGTATAAGTGTGAATCAGTGGGTTTTTGGGGGGTCAGCCGGGTGTCTGACACATGCGAAAACCTATCTCCATGCTTAAGAGTATCCAAACCAAACTGAGAATTCCATGCATCCCACATACACATGGAAATCCCATAGATAGATTGTTGGAATGGAATGCACACTTTCCCCTGGAGGGACACATCCTGGTTTCAGTGACTTCAAGAGAGAAGAGGAGAGAAAAAAANTAGTTTTTTNAAAAATGGATTAGCTGCCTGATGTTCACCTAATTTTAGCCTGTGAGAACAATTTATCTTAAATTTTAAAATGTTAAACTACTCAGAGTTGAGGAAAATTCTTAAAAATTCAGTCTATGTTTGGAAACTGGTTTTCTGTAGTTCTGAACAAATAACCATTTAACAAACTAAGATTACGTGAAATTTTGGGCTGTAGTAGGTAACAAGTGTTTCTACTCATCCCAATCCTACTTATGTTCATTCCCACATATTAATATTTAATAATCCTTACATTTGGTTTAACGCCTTTTACTTTTGGAGGGTGTCTCAAAGCGCTTCACAGGATTTACTTTAAAGTAGAGTGACTGTTTTTTGGGGTAGGTAATTGCGGCAACCAATTTACATACAATAATGAATTGAATGTCTTTTTATTAAGTAACTGTAATTTATAATAGTCCTTCCATTTGATATAGCGTCTTATCATGTTGTGATGTGTCAAAGCACTTCACAGGATATAACTTGTTCAGTATACATTTCAGCATCTTGAAAATCATTCAGTGGTTTTAAAAAAANCTGTACTTTTGTAACTGGTACGACAAAACTCTGTTCAAAAATAATTATATTCAGGGCTGCTTTGCTCAGGTTTATGACGCTTGATTAATGTTCTGTACTTATTGGAGCGCATCTCTGGCACGCTCCAAAATACCAGTTGTCAGTTCTAAAAGCATTAGAAGGATTAAACCGAATGATATAACTGCTGAAACTACGTTAAATAACTACGTTAATAAAGTGGCTTGCGTTAGGATTGAAAGGTCGCTGTAACTGGTTCAAATTCACATCAAACATTCACTTCAAAGTTTATTTTTTGTTTCAGCAATTGAGTCTTTTCACAGTCCAGCCCATGGAAAATCAAATTATGCTTCAAATCAATATTTATAAAAACTGATGCATTCCATTCCATTTCAGTTAAACCTGTGATTTCCTGACCCAGAGGCGAGTGGCACCAACTGAGATAATAGCATATTACTGTGTTATTATCTCAGCTGGTAGCACTCACGCATCTGGGTCTGAAGGTCGTGGTTTCAAGACCCACTTCTGAGACTTTTGAGCTCACAATCTAGGCTGGCGCTCCAGTACAATGTTGGAGAAATACTGCATTGTTGGAGGTGCTGTCCTTTGCATTAGATGTTGAACTGAAGTCAAGACTGCCTATTCAGGTGGACTTTAAAGATCCCATGGCGATATTCAAAATGAGAAGGGTGTATGTTGGCCAAAGATCCTCTAAATATATTGGTCATGCAAATATATTGCACCACAAAAACATGTGGGTATTTGTGGGACATTTCTTTGTTGCTGTGTTTACCTACAAATATACACAGTCAATACACTTAACAGTAATTACTGTAAAGCGCTTTGAGTCATTCTGACATAGGTACTATATAAAATGCAAGGATCGTTATTCTTCCCTACCATCCTGTTCGCTCCCTCCGCTCAGCGGGCTTTGGTCTGCTTCACGTCCCCCGCCTGGCTCGCCCCACTATTGGTGGGCGGGCCTTCCGCTACTCTGCACCCACCCTCTGGACCTCCATCCCGCAGTCCCTCAGTCTCGCCCCCTCCCTCGCCATCTTCCAAGACCCATCTCAAGACCCTCCTCTTCGACCGTGCATTCGATCTCCCTGCTTCACCCCCTCCCCTTCACTCTTCCCCACCCCAAACCCCAGCTTGGGTCCGTAACTCTGTCTGTCCAGCTCCTTGGGACGTCCTCCCAACGTGAAAGGTGCTACACAAATGTAATTTTGTTGTTGTTCTTCTTCTTCTTCCCCCTAATTTTCTGTCATCATGAAGGTGGACATGTTGTGGAACAGGACACTTTCCTTTATAGGACATCCAGTGGTAAAGCGACTTCATGTTCAGCCCTGGAACGGGGAATTCCCATTGCAATCCCCAGCTTTGGAAGTAAATCAAATTGGAACAGCATTCAGTGTGATGTTCATCTGGTCACCAGAAGGAATTACCTTATTAAACAATCTTGTTCAGAATTATTACAATTTAAATCTGATGTTTTTGCAAAGAAGGCTTTATTGTTGACCAAAGAATATAACTCTGTAATCCTTGTATTCTAGATAGCAGAGGTAGATAGCCGTCTGATAGCAGCTGAAATACAATATCTCACCTACCTAGAGAATGTTTGGTGGATAGATGGACAAATGTGTATGTGCGGTGTGGTGATTGCTGGCACATTGCAAAAACAAAACAAATTTATTTTTCCTTTTGCTTTAGGCTGGAGATTGAAGACAAGCATTTCGAAGAGGGCTTGGCCAAGGCGGGATGTGAAGTTCACTGTTTTGACCCCAGCATCAAAGAGCCTCATATTCAGCAGAGTAACGGTCTGTGGCACCATCGAGTTTCAGTAGACTGGAGGGACCCCAACCCTGCTATTGCTGCCCAGAAGCATTACAGAACTATAAAAAAACTGGGCACAATTATGAATGATTATCAACATCAAAAGGTGAGTGTCAACTTGGCTGAAGTGGAGATCAACAAAAACAACTTGAATTTATATCATAGAATCATAGAATTATACAACGCAGAAGGAGGCCATTTGACCCATTGTGTCTGTGCCGGCTCTTTTAAAAGAGCTATCCAAATCAATCCCACTCCCTCCGCACCCTCCCTGCAAATTTGTGCTTTCCAAATATTTGTCTACTTCTTTCTTAAAAGTTGTTATCAAATTGACTTCCACCATCCTTTTAGGCAATGCATTCCAGATCCAAACAACTCTCTGTGAAAAAATTTCTCCTCACCTCCCCTCTGTTTCTTTTAACAACTATTTTAAATCGGTGTCCTCGGGTTACCGACCCACCTACCAGTGGAAATAATTTAAGACCATAAGACGTAGGAGCAGGAGTAGGCCATTCGGCCCCTCAAGCCTGCCCCGCCATTTAATAAGATCATGGCTGATCTTCTAAGCTAATTCCATTTACCTGCCCTATCCCCATATCCCTTAATCCCTCTATCCTTTAGAAATCTATCAACCTCAGGCTTGAATATGTTCAAGGACTGAGCATCCACAGCCTTCTGGGGTAGAGAATTCCACAAATTCACTACCATCTGAGTGAAGAAATGTTTCCTCAACTCAGTTTGAAAAGGCTGACATTTAATCTTGAGATTATGACCCCTAGATTTAGATTCTCCAACCAGGGGAAACAAACTCACAGCATCTACCCTGTCAAGACCCTTAAGAATTTTATAGGTTTCTATAAGATCACCTGTAATTCTTCTATATTCTAGAGAATATAGGCCTAGTTTACTCAACATATCCTTGTAGGTCAACCCCCTCATCCCAGGAACCAACCTAGAGAACCTATGTTGCACCCCCTCTAAGGCGAGTATGTCCTTTCTTAAATAAGGAGACCAAAACTGCACACAATATTCTAGGTGTGGTCTCACTAAGGCCTTATACAACTGAGGCAAGACTTCCCTACTCTTGTACTCTAACCCTTTTGCAAAAACGCCAACATGGCATTAGCCTTCCTAGTTGCTTGCTGTACCTGCATACTAATTTTTTGTGACTGGTGTGCAAGGACAGCCAAATCCCTCTGAACACTAACAATACCCAGTCTCTCCCCCTCTAGAAAATAATCCGCTTTTCTATTTTTACTACCTAGTTGAATCACTTCACACTTCCCCACTCCATCTGTCACCTTCTTGCCCACTCACCTAGCCTGTCTATTTCCCTTTGTATTCTTTGTGTGTCATCCTCATAGCTTACTCTCCCACCTATCTTTGTATAGTCCGCGAATTCAGATATATTAAATTCTATTGCCTCATCTAAATCATTGATATAGACTGTAAATAATTGAGGCCCAAGCACTGATCCTTGTGGCACTCCACTAGTCACATCCTGCCGATCTGAGAAGGACCCGTTTATCCCCACTCTCTATTTTCTTCCTGTTAGCCACTCTCCAATCCATGCTAATATATTACCTTTAATTCCATGGGCTCTAATCTTATGCAACAGCCTTTTTTGTGGCACCTCGTCGAATGCCTTCTGGAAATCCAAATACACCACATCTACTGGTCCCCCCCTATCTAACCTGCTAGTTACATCCTCAAAAAACTCTATAAGATTTATTAAACATGATTTCCCTTTCGTAAAGCCATGTTGACTCTGTCTAATCACGTTATGATTTTCCCAGAACCCCACGACGACGTTCCTAATTAAAGACTCTAGAATTTTTACCACCACTGATGTCAGACTAAATGGTCTATAGTTCCCCATTTTTTGTCTCCCACCCTTCTTAAATAGCAGGGTTACATTTGCGACCTTCCAAACACTGGGAACCGTTCCAGAATCCAGGGAATTTTGGAAGATCAAAAACAAAGCATCCACTATCTCTGTAGCCACCTCTTTTAAAACCCTAGGATGCAGGCCATCAGGTCCAGGGGATTTATCGGTTTTTAATCCTATCAATTTCTCTAGTACTATTGCTTTACTGATGTTCATTTCTTTAAGTTCCTCACTAACATTAGCCTCCAAGTTCCCCTCTATTTTCAGTAAGTTTTCAGTGTCCTCTAACGTGAAGCCAGAAGCAAAATAAATGTTTAATGACTCTGCCATTTCTTTATTCCCCATTATAATTTCTCCTGTCTCTGCCTGCAAAGGACCAACATTCACTTTTGATAGTCTCTTCCTCTTTATGTACTTGTAAAAACTCTTACAATCTGTCTTTATGTTCCTAACTAGTTTACTCTCATATTCCATTTTCTCTCTGTTAATCAGTTTCTTGCTTTTCCTTTGCTGATCTCTAAAGCCCTCCCAATCATCAGGTTTACTGCTCTTTTTGGCAGTATTATAGGCCTTTTTTAATTTTATACTTTCCCTAACTTCTCTAGTTAGCCAAGCTTGAACCACTTTTCCCGTGGTATTTTTGTTTCAAGGGAATATGTGATCGCTGGGAATTATGTATTATATCTTTAAATGTTTGCCATTGCTGATCTACCATTATATTTTTTAATCCAATTTCCCAGTCTATTTTAGCCAAATCTTCTCTCATACCTTGGGATGTCCTCCCGACGTGAAAGGTGCTATATAAATAATTTTGTTGTTGGTGGTGGTGGTGATGGTTGTTGTTGTGCCTGCAAAGTTGGCTTTATTTAGATTTAAGACCCTTGCTTCGGGTTCAACTATATCACTCTTTAACTTAATGTTAAATTCCATCTGATTATGGTCACTCTGCCCGACAGGAGCCTTAACTTCCAGATTGCTAATTAGCCCTATTTCATTCCACAAAACAAGATTTGTTTACCTCGGCTAGGCTTTATACACTCCGCTTGACCTCAGCTCCTCCCCACGCTGTCCTGGCTCCATTTCCGCCCTCGTTTCTCCTTGTTCATCCTATGGAAATCCCTCATAATTTTAAAAACTTCTACTAAGTCTCTTAACCTTCGCTGCTCCAATGAGAATAATCCTCGCTTCTCTAGCCTCTCCTAATAACTGAAGTCCCTCAATCCTGGTACCATCCTGGTAAATCTCCTTTGCACCCTCCCCAATGCCTTGACATCCTTCCTAAAGTGTGGTGTCCAGAATTGAACACAGTCTCTCGCTGAGGCCTAACCAGTGTTTTATAAAGGTTCATCATAATTTCCTGACTTTTGTATTCTATGCCCCTATTTATGAAGCCTAATATCCCGTATGTTTTTTTAACAGCTTTATCTACCTGTCCTTCCACCTTCAAAGATGTATTTGTATGAACCCTCAGGTCTCTCTGTTCCTTCACCCCCTTTTAAGATTGTACCATCAGCTTATATTGCCTCTCCGCATTCTTCCTCCCAAAATGTATCACTTTACATTTATCCACATTAAACTTCATCTGCCACATGTCTGCCCATTTCACCAGTCTATCTATGTCCATTTGCAGGAGGTCCCCTCCTCCTCACCCTCTATATGCTCCCCCTCGGTGACATCATCCGCAGACATGGGGTTAACTTCCACACGTATGCAGATGACACCCAACTCTACCTTTCCTCCTCTACCCTCAACTCCACGACCACCGATGTCCTGACAGCCGCCTGTCTGACATCGAGTCCTGGATGAGAGACAACTTTCTTCAGCTCAACGTGCGCAAAACTGAGGCCCTCCTGATTGGCTCACGTCAGCGCCTCCGCACCTCAGGCGCTGACAGCATCAGCATCCAAGGCTGCGCTCTCCACCTCTCAAAGCCGTCAGGAACCTCGGGGTTCTGTTCGACCCTCATGTGAGTCTCAATTCATATGAGCCAATCTAGAAAGGTAACCATATATTGGTCAAAATCTGCATCAGTTGGCTGTAAAAGGTAGAATGTGGTCAATATATTTTCTGGTTCAAAGTCAGAAATGTGCCATAGGCATTTTATAGCATTCAGAATTTGGCAAATTCTTAAATACTCCCTTAATTTTGAAACTGCAAAATATGTTCCTTCACTTTTATGGCTCATATGAATTGAGAGAGGACAATTTGAACAGCAACTTTGAATAGGTCAATATACAATACGCATCTCAGATATTATTAAAACAATTACGTACTACCCAGTTGGTGTAATAGAATACACCAGTTTTTAAGTTAACAGTTGCCAGGGATGATGTGGTGGTGCTCAGGGTAAAGCTTTGCATTTCCTGCATGCTTGAGGCATGCAGTTCCTGATCTTGTCTTTGCTCCAGTAGATAATCATTGATTTACTTAACGGGATTCCTAATGGGAAGGGGGAAGTCAGCAATAAGCAATGGTGTGTGTTTACAGTGATGTGAAGGGGAAAACAATAGTAAATCTCTGAAAGTATCTATACATAAAATGGCGATAAGTGCTTGGCAGTATTGGTGTGATATATTTGATACTATGGTAGTTTTATATTTATTTCTCTTCCTGAAGCAAGATTTGCTCCTCCAGATTAGATCCTATACATCCAAAACAGTTTTAAATTCTACCATTCTGTCTTTATCTGTTGAAGTAAGATCTTAAGAAATTCTTTAAATTCCAGTTATAACAGTATTTTTCTCTGTTGGATTCCCCCCTTTCTCTCCGTGGAAAATAGCAACATCACATGTAATGCCAGGAGCTATGGATCACCTAAGTGAAGTCAAGCAAAATACTCCCTTTCTCTAACTGTCCCAACTATTTAAACACTCTTAGAAATGTGCACATTGATGCTGATTGTCAGCAATACGCAACAGCCAACCATCACTAATGGTTCATTTGTACTGGCTGGAAATCTGGTTTCTTCAGTTCTTTAGGTTTATTGCACAACAGAAGTTTACATAGGTTGGCAGCCCTGGTTTTAGCGAAGCTGTTGTGATACACCATCACATGCCTGTAAACCGATATGAATGAGATATGGGTTTACAGTTGAAATCCCCTGTAATCATTACTCTGAGGCACAACATTACAGGGAATTATCAAGAAGATGTCAAGAACATCTGTACTAATAGGGAGAAAGGGAAATCAGTGGGTGGGGAGAAGAGGGGGAATCGATG